AGTGAAAAAGAAGGCTGAAAAGTTGCCCTTTTCTGAACTTTGAAGGGCCGTAACTCTTTAAATAAGGGAGACGCGCGGCTTTTTTCTTTCGGATTCGTAATCTACTCATCAAAATACGTAAGTACAGTCAAAAAATTTTTCAAAATCGTCGGGTGTCCACATAACGAAAATTTACCGAACCCTCTAATATTGAGGTAAGGCTAAAACAAACAATGAAAATAACTAATCTTTCGTCTCCCTTGATGTGTTGTATGGTACGATTTGAATGGTATAATTTTTAGGGTTCCAGTTTTGGATTTTCCATTTTTTTGAACGCACTACAGATCACTTTCGATTTATTGCTCGACGATAGATTATCTGGGTGAAACAGGAAAACTGTCCTGCCGAGCTAAGATTCGAAGTACTGTCGTAGGATCGGTATTCGTGTGGACTATTTGGTCTATATTTTTTTATACAATATTGCAAGAAGGGTACGTCCGGTAAGCGAGTATTTCTCCATTGTTTATCTATATTTTCTACCGCTGGGATTGCTGCTACGATACTGCAAAAACCAAGAAATACCAGTGCAGGATCTTCCTTAATTATAAAAAAAAATATTGTCACATGAATATATGAGACCATATTTTCTCATGTCATAATGATAAGAGTTTTATTTTGTGAGCCAAAAGATTCATATATAAATGATATGTTGTGAGATTAATGCAAATATCCAGCAGAGTTATCAACTTGTATTGGTTAAATGATATCTAGTAAATCAATTATTTTTATTGGACATTAAGTGTTGATTATTTATGATCGGTTGTTATTTATAATTATCGATTATATTTCTTTTCAGTTTAAGTAAGTTTCTTGGCGACACAAAACCGTATTAAACGGGTGGCGCCTCTTTACTTTATATAACATTTCTTTTCTTTAGAGTTCCCACACCCACATCAGAGTTTTGGTCAAGAAACAATAATTCAGCATAATGTCAGATATTTATAGAATCATTTTCATCTCATTGTAGATAAAGGTTCATATTGAAATAATAGTAATCTAACATTGGAATTGCCCCTGTAACAACATGACTTCAGAATTACGTCTAAGACCTCCTGATCCAGTTTGATCTAGGACCACATTAGCTTAACTATTTTGATTATATTGAAAATTCTCATATGCCTAACTGCTTTCACAATGAATACGATTATCGTTTGTTTGAAAGTCTCATTATCTAATATGATATAAAATGATTTGAAATCCCTGAAAGAATCAATAAAATTAAATGAATAGCTGAAAATAATAAAATTATTCTAAGCAAAAAAACCGAAATTAAATAAAATACAAACAACAATTGAAAATTCAGGTGATGACTGGTTTTCACATGGAAATGATTGAATACCAACAATCGGAACATTGTGAAGTGACTAAGCTTGAAATCTTTCAATATTTATTTTTTTTATTGTTCAATTTTTAGTAGTTACTTGTATTTCATTTTATTTTACTGTAATTTAATTTCAGGGTTTTTTGCCTAATATAACTGTTATTTTCAGCTATTCGTTCAGTTTCATTGATGCTTTCAGGGATTCCAAATCATTGAGGTTCAAACTAATGATATTGAATACGATTATGTTATCGATATAGATTAAATTTTCGATTCGCCATTTGTAGAACTAAAATGTTCAAAACATTCCAATAACTATGAAAATTTTTATAGTTGATAAAAAAATGAGATTATCAGATGCAGTTCTTTTCGTAAAAAAATAGTATGTCTTTTGAAAAGGTGTTTTATCCAATAGTTATGCCGGGGTTTTGAATTTCATTACATTTTACTGTCTCTTCATGGATACTGAATTGGTTTTCAAATATTCAATTTTCAATATTTACATTACACTTTAATGAAATATATGGGGATTATTAAGACTTATATTTCTCAATAAAATAAGATCATGTTTTATAATGTTATGATGTTTTCTGATGCTCTCCTATATATGTTCGTTTAGTTTTGTTATATTGATATCATCCTCTTCATATTGGTCGCTGCTATTTGTATCGAGAACACACTCATTTATTTATTTAACACGACATTCATTCAATACAGGAAACATATGTTTATTGTTCAACGTTTTATTACCTAAATTTTTGAATCGATTTTATTGAAGGCTTGCAGAGAATTATTATTTTTCTTCTTCTCAATAATTTGGCCATTGCATCTATACTGTTGGGCAATTAACAATTTTCTCAATTTCTTCTGAACAAATTAGGAGCATTATCATTATATTTCATTGAAAATTTATTTATACTACCTAAAATACGTTTGAATTCAACAGATGATTTGCATGAAGAATCAGAAACAAATATACATGCACGCCAGGGGTGATGGCGAGCGATCGCGCAGGTATAGTTTCTCCCAACTAAATTACTATTGGATTACGATAAGCCCGTTGTCGGCCAGTGTCGTGCCTAAAATTAATTTTAAATACGGCAAATGGAACATGACCTCATTGTAATTTCTTTTTATATTTTATTCAGTATTATAGGTGGTAATACAGTTCACCAAAATGTTATATATTGATACACTTACCTAAAAGTAAACTTCAGTCAGCCACTATCTGAATAAAAATTTCCTCCATTTTCACTGCTGCTTGTATTTGTCCTGCTGTCGTCATTCAAATTTATATTCAGTGGATTTACCTATTTTTGAACGTCTGTGGATGTTTCATTTTCCCAATATTTCCGCTATCTGTTTACTACATGTCTGCAACGCTTTTGCCATTCCTCGGAAGTGATTTGATCAAACTCGTATTCGGACTACGAGTTGAAGATGAGTTTCCACTCATCTTCCAACTTCAAAGTTACATTCTTTTCGTTTCAATGGGATTCAAATCCAGATGATGGGGTGGAAATCGCAAATCGTTATGTCCGTGTTCACCATGCCAGCCTTCATAGAATTTGTATTGGGGCTGGACTAATTTGAATATTATGATATGGAGCTATATTGGTCACCACTACCTAATTCACAGGTGAATTTGGAATGAACTTTTTTTGTAACCATTTACCATAATTTTCAGAATTCTGAATGATAATCCTGATGTTGTGCCTGATTTGAATATAATCCGCCAATTGAGTATAAAGCCCATGTCATCTCCTGAAGGTACCATAATGAGTCTTGGTCTCTTCGCAATATTTTTAGAAAATCCTTTAGTTGATTCATCTGTCCAGTCCTTGGAATATGTTTGTCCACTATGAAAATATGTTCCATAGTCGCTATTGGCTACGAAAATAACTTATTTTTGTAAATACTTGATCCCCAAGGCTCTAATGTCCATTTTCTCTATTAAAATTTTTCTATTTTACGTTACGTTTCCCCCGTGGGTTTACCAATAATTGACTACACTGAACAATAATCAAACTCAACTTTATTTCACTATTAATATAACAAAACACTTAAAACTGAAACTTCAACTATTATTCAGATGTCTATCGCCTCATAAGATCGCATCGTACGACACTGTTCGCGAAACTTGACTGTTTCGATAAGCATGTAGATGGCGCTTATATTTGGCAATCGAAGGTGCTGTAAAATTCTTCGGAATTCTATCGAAGCGGCGCGAACATCGAACAACCGCGAAACATCGGGGGTATTATTCTCTAAGCAACGCCACGTCTGAAACGGCCGCTAGCTCTTGGTCACGTCACTATTCAATTATGGCTACCAGCGGCGGCCGGCGTTGACTTTTCTAGAGCATGATTTACAACAATAATTCACCTAATGGAGATTCATATTAATCTGAATCTGCTCTTGTTATACAATTATATTTCACTGAGCTTGAACTGATATGAAATCAATGATTTTTCCTGAGTAATATTCCATTTTTTTTTATTTTCGTGCAATTGCTCTTATTGAACTCTCATGATATATTTTCATGCTCCATGTATTGAAAATGTGCTTGTTGGACGCCAAAACCTTTCCTGAATATTACCTGAGGAAACAATTTTATATTTCAGGTATTCCCGTTATTCAAGATTTGCCGGTTGGAGTTGAAATGTATGATCACCCCACCTTTCCTGGAATTTTCTTCCGACTAAATGAAAGTATAGATATTAACCTGTTGAAGGCACTAACAAATCCTTCAACGTACAATGAATATTTCAGGGAATATAGAGGAATGTTCACATCTATAGGTGAGTATATTTTTATCGTCATGGTTTGGTATCTGTGTGTATGTATACCTCGCAATCGCATTTAAAAATTCTGATACTAGTGCCTAGTCACAGATAGGAGATTATTGCTCAGTATGTGTGACAAAAGCGATGAAGTTTTCAATGGAAGTATAAGGAATTAAATAGGAAGTAGGAAGTGTTAAACTTCTTTCGACAAATGAGGCACCATTCATATTAGGAAATTAAAATCATTTCAATTCAAGTAACCTGAAAAATCAAATTTGTTCAAAGTGTATAAACTTTGACTTGTTGAGAGATAATTATGTCGATGCTATTTTACGGGTTTATTACTAAATCACAGTTATAATTAGATGAGAAAAAAAAACAAACATGGATGACATGAAATCTCAAAGAAAAGTTCACCAATAGGGCTCTACCACTTAACCCTTGTAGTGAGGTTTATTATTTTTATTTTGCCTACCTACCCTAAGCCTACTTAACCTAAGTCTGTCTAATCCTAACCTAAACTAAAACTTTTTGGGTCACTCATTATTTTCTTATTTAACAATCAACTGTTTGACCACACTAAAAAACAAGAAGAAAATAAAGAAAGTACAAAGAAGGAAAAATAGGCGATAAGTAAAAGTATGGGGAACCGTTCAGTAAATATGTTTTGAGTTCTTTTTTTAATTTTACCTTATTATATTGTTTAAATTCAGGAGGTATCGCATTGTGTGATTGAAACATATTAAACTGGAAGCTTCTTTTGAAGAGGGAGGTTCTGTGTGCAGGACATGTTAGCAGATATTTATTCCTGATGTTGAGATTGTGAACATTTCTGAACATTATTTTCTCATGAAGGTAAGTTGGGCAGACACAAGGCATGGAACTTGAATCTTTCTCTCATTGAAAGCCATCTCAAGTCATTCAGTTTGTGAGAGACATGATCATATTTTCTTATATGAAGTAATGAAGTAAGTTAAACGATGGTGAAGGAAAAATCTGGAATTTACGAGAAGCTTTCGAAAGTTCACTAATCGAAAAATATGAAATGATAGCTCATGTACTCGTACGTAATTTCAGATAGAAAAATGGTAAAGGCATCAGTCAGCAAGTCGATAACGATAAAATAACATATGACAAAATACGGTGCATTACCTACATCTAGATGAAGTAAATTCGTCTAGATGCATATGAAAACATCATCCTACATTGCCAAAAGATGTTGCTGAGTAATGTTAACTTAGTTAACTTGGTTAACATCACACGCGTCTAGAGACATCATTTTTGTTGTGATAGAAGAAAACAGCTTTCAATAGATGACGTTTGTTATGAGATATATACAGGGTGTTTCATATTTGAAGGCTGATCCTGAAAGCCGATAACTCTTGGATATTTATAAGAAAAATTCTTATTTTTTTATGGTGACGGTTTTCTTAATGATCCTTAGTGGCGTCCTTATTAACATAGCCTGCCACATTTGTTTTCAAGAACTTCTTATGAATTACTCATTCCAGTGGATGAACGTAGGTTTTTGATAAACCACTCCATCTCATTATGCAGTGTGTTAGATGACTTTGTACTAGTGAATAATAAACAATTTTTTCAGTTTCGAATCAAAAATCTCCTTGAGCTGTTGAAATTTAAAAAATATTCGTCTTATTTTTTTCATTAAATGAGTCATGTGAAAATCCTGTATGAAATGTGAGTCTATTATAACTCCTAAATATCTAAGATGCATACGTGCGCATATTTCTAAAGACGTCTGAATCGTTTTATGCTGATATATCGGCAGACACCACTTGTAGTTTCTGAACGGTAGATAATGAGTTTAATTGAAATTCAGACAGCTGTCTATAATCAAAACAATAGGCAAATACAATTCACAGACACTTTCTCCCTTCTCGAATTATCTCGAATTTCTTTGATGAGAATTGTTATTTCAGGAAAATAAAAAAAATGGAGAGAGAAAATTTTATTGTATTCGAATTGTACTATAACGATGTACTCTTTTTATGAACGTTTCGTTTAATTTCAACACCAAACCGTTATTTTTAACACCTCGACACGTGTTTCAATCACCAAAAGATCATCTTCAAACGTTTCGTGTCAACACGGTCACAATCGGCTCCCTTTTTCAAATACGGACATCTCTCTTTTGTTACAAAAATTGATAAAGCGATTAAATCACAATTCAATTGTAAATCACACTAGATATTTTAACGTTTCATTCAAAATACTTACATTTTATGCATTGATGGCTAAATTAATGATAGACTTTTAAACTGGCAATAAATGTTGTGAACTAAATTAGTATAAAATACTTATCCAACTCAACAATTCATATGGACGAGTATTACAATAAGTACCTTCGTGAAAATGAATCCTAAACTTTGCAACTGAACCAATCTCAAAAAAATTAACAGTTGTATCAGAAAAAAGGTGAATCCATACTATGAATTTATGCAAGTCTATACTTATAAAAATATACGGAGTTTCAGTAACGAGTGTGATAAGTGCGGTCATTACTGTCGAGTAATCTAGTTATTACTCGCGAGAAAGTGTGTCGTCTCAAGCCGAAGGCACGCTTAGTGAATCGCCTACAACGTGCATAAAAAAACAAGAGATTTTTTCGATCTATTCATTTTTTTGGAAATTCATATTAAATGCAGGATAGAGAAAATAACTTTTGTCTGATTTCTACTAAGATTTTTATTAGTTATTCTTGAGAATGGTTTAAAAACCGAAACCCGTTTTAATAAATATCTTGGTAGAAGTTAGACAAGAGTTATTTTCTCTATCCTATATTTGAATTTATAAGAAATATTTTAAGGGTTTAGTCAGCTAGTTTATTAGCTTGCTAAAATTACATAAATTTCAGGTGGAGTTGAAGCAATGACATACATAAGAACAAATGTTTCATCAGATCCAGATCTTTCCTATCCTGACATGGAATTGTTTTTTGTTAGTGGATCGTTAAATAGCGATTACGGTGTTGCTTATAGAAAAATTTTCAATATTCCGCCTGCTACATATGATAAAATTTGGAGGCCCTTAGAGGGAAAGCCGGTATATCAAGTAAGTAGAAAATCATCTTGATGTGAAAAGTTTAGAGTTCAATATTTATTCGATTCTGTGCTCTTTTTGGATTTGTATATTGGTGTAGTAGTTCAGGTGTATAGAATTATCATGCAAATCCTAATATGACTTATTCTATTCCATTCGTACTGCTAGCTTTTACAATAACTTTAGATACCGCCAATATCACTGTTTATGTGATAGTTTCATAACATGATATTATAAATTGAAGGTACATGTAAATTGTAATGGCACTTACAGCAATACAGAAAAATCCTTAAGGCGCTTTCAGTGCGGTGCTTGTGCGAAAGTAGCGATTCACATTGGATTTGAATCGCTGAAATCGCACTGAAATAAAATATTATTTGAGGTTATTTATGCAAACGAGTATGCATGAATATTCACCGTGATTTTTTTGAATTAAATTTTTGAATCTATTATAATGCATAATCAATCAATCATTGAGTATATACTTGTCATTTGATGCGTGGTGGGAACAAACTTAATTTTTATGTTAATGTTGGAATTATTGATAGAAATGGATACTTCAGCGTATAAAACAACAAGTAAGGGCGTCGTGACTTCAAAATGTAGTACGAACTATCAGACGAGACTACCCAGGACAAATTCGATGCATGCTTTTTCCATTTACAAAAGCATTTCTCCAATGGTTTGAACAGCAACGTTTCACGGAGCGTTTAACGGAGCTGGTTAATGGATGAAAAGTATTTTATATCAGATTAAATATGTCAATGAATATGTTGCTAATACGTTGACTAAAAATTTCAGTACAAAATATGATTAATTAACAATTTAAAACTCATTTGTTTTAACATATCACTGGGTTTGGTTAATAAACAAATTTCATACCTATCGGAAGTATGAAGCCTATAGAATATGCAATTGTTAGGTTGACTATTTTTGTCCCGCCACAACTCTTGGGTAGGCAGGTAAATCGGTCCTAGTAACTTGCACTGGTCTGGTTAATGAATTGAAGTTATGTTGAAATAAGGATTATTTCATTACGAACACGGTGGTTTGGGGTTGTATGCGAAAAATACATCCTGAATTCCGGTTGTCCGGTTTTGAAAAGTGAAATATTGCTGCGAGTAAATACGGGCGACAGAGAGATCCCAGCGAACCATCACACGTAACAGGTTAGGTTAGGTTAGGTCCAAAGTGAGTGGGTCTATTTGACCCTGCACCGCAACCCGCTAGGTTTTATTATGGATCACACCTATTCACACTCGACCAAATAAACCCAGCTTCTTAACGAAACCGATTAGTTTGTATGGTGAATGGTCTTTCAGGTCAGATGGTAAGAGTACGGCTCTGCCCCAGCGGGGCAGGCAGAGTATGTATTCTGCTGTTTCATCATTTTCCAAACAGAGGCGACACACACTGTCTTTCGACATATGATGATTCAAATGACAATGACCTGTAAGATGGCCTGTTAGACATCGTATTTCATCCCTACTGTAGTCCAACAACTGTTGGGTATCAAGCTTCGAAGGGTGAATAAACGCCTTGGAATGAGCCAATCCTGGAAGATTCTGTCAGAAGTCCATAAATCTTCTTGCCATCCAGGTGTTCAATCTCTGTATGGCAAAGCCTAAAGCGATGCCAATGACAGGTTCTGGTCCGATGAAGCTGCTTGCAGCATCCTACTTTGCAAGGGAGTCAGCAGCCTCATTGCCTTCCAGAGCAGTATGGCCAGGAATCCAGACCAGAGACAATCTGTCAAGTCTTCCTATCGAGGAAAGTCGTTGTTGGCAATTTGCTACCAATTTAGGCGTTGCTCGGTAGGAGCCAAGAGCTTTCAACTACTCTTGAATGTCCGAGAATATTTTTATTGACTTGTGTATGAGGTGGGATTCTTGAAATCTCTCCGCACACAATACAATAACGTAAATTTCCGCTTGAAATACAGTTACATAGGTTCCTAGGCAGATTGATATCTCTGTCCTCGGTCTGCGACTGAAAACACCTGCACCAGAACCGAAAGGTGTTTTTGATCCATCTGTGAACCAACAAATATCTGATCATATGTGATAGAAGAAAAGACAGCATTGCAACTGTATGTAATTCATCCATTGAATGAAAGAGAATGCCCATGCAATTCGTCCGTGAAAATGAGTTAGTTTAATTTTGCACAAGATTTATGAGTCTATCACTATCCTTTTCATTTTCACGGAAAAATAGCATACGCAATCTCTTGCATTCAATGGACGAACTACACACAGATGTGTCCTCTTCTATCGCATGGGATGGTTCGCTGGGATCTCTTTGTCACAAGTATTCACTCGCACCAATATTTTACTTTTCAAAACCCGACAACCGGAATTCAGGACTGATTTTTCGCAGACAACCCCGATACCACCGTGTTTGTAATGAAATAATCTTCATTTTAACACAACTTCAATTCATTAACCAGACCAGTGCGAATAACTAGTATCGATTTACCTGTTTATACCTGCCTGCCCAGAGTTGTGACGGGAAAAAATTAGTCAACCTAACTTTAGCATATTCTTTAGGCTTCATACTTTTCATTGGTATGGAATTTGCCCGTTAACCAAATCAGTGAAATGTTTGAAAAATATAGTTTTAAATTCCGGACTGACATTTTTTAGTCAATCCAATTGGAACATATTGATTTGATATAAAATACTATTCATCCAATGAACAGCTTGGTGAAGGTCGCTTTACACTGCGATCCTATACTATTTATGTCATTCGGCCTGTTATTTTACAAATAAAGTTCCTATAACGAAGCTGTCACTACAAAATAGGATAGGCGACTTCATTCCTGTTTTTTTGTGAAGAATTTTGTCCCTACTGTTGTGGAATCGTGGCCTTTGATTTCAAGATTGAAGCACTCTGCTACCAGTGAAAATACGGAAATGAAAATTTTGATGTACAGCGTTGATATAAAAAGCTATACTTGGATCAGCACTTCGAAAACACTCACACAAAAAAATATCGCACATTTCACCCATTATTGAATAAAATATACAAAGAGCAGAACAAGAGAGCGAATCTATTGATAACTAGCAAAGATAATTTTTCACATCCGATACAATCCTAATATGTCAACGAAGGGCAACACAATTCACCTGTTTTTTGCGATAAAAAATTTCAGTTATTGGTATCATCTCGCGGCAACGTCAGAACTTTTACAGTTGGTCTACAACGCATTCCAGCAACCACCAGTGTATAGACATCTTAGGTTCATTCTATTCAGTTCTATTCTGTAATAATTTTTATAACTCTCTCAGTCCAGCGTAATTCATGTATACCTGTTGGAAAGACACCCAGTATGTTATAATTATGTAATCGAATGCACAAATTGAGAACTACACTTCAACTTATTCTCTGATAACGTGCTTAATATTAAAGGAGGTTATTTTTGGGACCGTTTCAAGGAAAACATGTGAACATTTCTATAATAAAATTAAATTTCGAACTGATGTACGTACATTGAACTTCTGGTTTGAACGGCTTTAAAAAAACCCCTTGCATAAAACACAACAATATAAAAGATCTTACACTTTGAATAATTTTTTATTAATAAAACAACGATAAAAATAAAATAAAAACAACAATAAAAATTAATTGGCGCTCCGGGG